CTTCTCTTCTCCACTGTGGGGCTTGTGTAAGTGAACACTGGGCGGGCAATGCCAAAAAAAACCACCACTCCCATTTTACCCTTGTGCATTTGAATATCCTTCTGGAGACCACCCCACTGCAGGGGATCCGCATGGCTGCTTTGAGGAAGATGGACTGCTCCTGACGCCCTGTCTGAGTTTACTGCCACAGGGACCTTGGCAGATTGATAACCTTCCTCCTTCCCTGTTCTAGCTCCCCCATTCAAGCTCTGGACACAGCCCCAGTCCCTTCCAACGCTTCAGCAGATGTGAATTTCTACCTGATGGTTTACGGGAGCATTGCAGGAGCCAACTCCCTCTTCACCATTTTTCGGGCCTTCCTCTTTGCGTATGGCACCATCCGTGCTGCCGTTGTCATCCACAACCGGCTGCTCCAGAGGGTTGTAAAGGTAATGGTCAGAAAGTCCAGGGCAGGCTGGGGTTCCTGCAAGTCCTTCTGCCCTGCTGTTCTTCTCATAGTCCAGGAGTGAAGGTGTGAGAGATGGCTTTCTGCTGGCAGGAGCTGATGAGCTCTTGTTTTTTTGTCCCGTTGTTGCCAGGCCACCGTCACCTTCTTTGACACCACACCGACAGGCCGCATCCTGAACCGCTTCTCTTCAGACCTGTACTGCGTGGATGACACCTTGCCCTTTATCCTCAACATCTTCCTGGCCAACATGTACGGGCTGCTGGGCATGCTGGTCATCATCACCTACGGCCTCCCCTGGATCGGCCTGGTCTTACTCCCTCTGGCTGCCCTCTACTTCTCCATCCAGCGCTACTACCGGCGCACCTCGCGGGAGCTCAAGCGCCTTTACAATCTCACCCTGTCCCCCATCTACACCCACTTCTCAGAGACCCTCTCGGGACTGAGCAGCATCAGAGCCATGCGGGCAGCAGAGAGGTATGTGGAAGGGAACAGCACCCGGAGAGCCAAAATTTGGGCTCTATAAACCAGCGCCGTCCTGACGTGGGGCCGGTTACGGGGTGGTGGGAATGCCCCTGGTGTGGGGTTGAGTGGGCTGCAGTTTGGTGTGAGCCTCTGTTGTGTTCCTGCCAGGTTTGAGTTGGAGAATCAGCTGCACCTGGAGCAGAACCAGCGCTGCCTCTTTGCCAGCAACACGGCAGTGCAGTGGCTGGACATCCGCTTGCAGATGATCGGGGTCGCCGTGATTACTGCTATCGCAGGAATCGCCATCATCCAGCACCAGAAGGAGCTGGGAAATCCAGGTGGGCTGCCAGGAATTGTTCCGTCCTCACCCTTGGGGTGTGGCCCAGGGGTTCCTCTTCTCCCAGTCCTCTCCCTTTATCAGAGATCCCGAGCTCCCACTCCCTGTCACTCTGCCTGTTGCCTTCAGCTCCTGTTCCTCCTCCTGCATGTCCCCCTCCTAGAGCTGGATCCCAGAGTGCTGACTTCTCCCCTGTTTCTTTGTCCTGCCACCGAGATCCCAGCTCTTTCCCTGACGTTAACCCTCTTGTTTATGTTTTTGTCCTCTCAGGACTTGTGGGCCTGGCGCTCTCATATGCCCTGTCAGTCACAAACCTTCTCTCGGGCCTCATTTCCAGCTTCACTATGACAGAAACCATGATGGTGAGTGTGGAGCGGACAGAGGAATACACTACAGACATCCCTGTGGAGCCCCAGGATAAAGTGGTCCAGGTAAAAGCTTAAAGATGTCCTCAGGGACTGGTCCTGTGCCCTGCACTTGCCTCCAGGTGGAAATGAGAAGGTTCCAGTGTGCAAGGAGGGCCCTCACCTACAGAATTTGTTTTGACCATTTGTCTTTTACCGGTGCATCCCAAGGGGAACCTCAGGCAGGAGGTGTGGAAGACTAGAATGACAGGAAGAGCAGAAAGGGGTGGTAGGGCTAAGCAGTGAGGGAAAAACAGGCATAGAAGGGGGCTGGAAACAGAACTGAGACTAAGGGGGAACTTTGTCCCCCTTAGGTTGCTGCTGACTGGCCAAGCAGGGGGCTTGTGGAGTTCCAGCACGTGGTCCTGGCCTACCGGGCGGGCCTGCCCAATGCACTGGACGGAGTGAGCTTCACCGTGTACCCCGGAGAGAAGGTGGGGGTCGTGGGGCGCACAGGATCTGGAAAATCCACTCTTTTCTTGGCACTTTTCCGTATGCTGGAGCTGAAAGCAGGCCGGATTCTCCTGGATGGTGTTGACAGCCGGCTGGTGGGCTTGGAGGAGCTGAGGTATGGGGGTCTGAGCAGAGCAGGGGGCAGCCCAGGGGGGGCAGGAAGCCGAGAGCTGTCGGTGGTCAGATGCCAAAAGGAAGAACGAGGAGGAAAGGGCTTTCTGCCTCTGGCAGCTTCTTATGAGCTGCTCTGTTGTTACTGTAGAGCTGTGCTAAAGAAACCAGGCTGAGTGTGTGATCCGTGCCCTGTATCTGTCTCTAAACTATGCAGAGAGACTAACCCAGGAAAATAAATAAATAAATAAATAAATAAATAAATAGGACTTTGATTTTGTGCAGAACCCACCCCACGAGCTCTCGGCTCTCCTCTGCTTGCAGGTCTAGGCTGGCCATCATCCCCCAGGATCCGTTTTTGTTCAGTGGCTCCATCCGGGAGAACCTGGACCCTCAGGGAAAGAGGACAGACGCCGAGCTCCACGAGGTGCTGGAGCAGTGCCACCTGCGGGACGCGGTCACCCGCATGGGTGAGTGAACGCGGCGTGGCGAGGTCGCTGAGCCCTGCTCCTGGGAGAGGGGAGGAGGCCTCAGCTTGGGCAGGGAGCTGAGGAGAAGAGGGAGAAGAGGCTGGGAGTGCGGCAGGGAATTGTTTGGGGCCATCCTGCTTGCCTCCTGCAGGTGGCTTGGACAGTGAGCTGGGAGAGAGAGGAAAGAGCCTGTCTGTGGGACAGAGGCAGCTGGTGTGCCTGGCAAGAGCTCTCCTCACGCAGGCCAAGGTGAGTGCCTACTGGCGGGGCGTGGAGGGGATGGGGTGGGCTCTGCTGCCCTCTCAGGCTGGCTCTGGGCAGGGATTTGGGGTCTCGCAGAGGGTGTGTGGCAGCTCCCCTTCACTCTCTGTCCCGGGCAGGTGTTGTGCATCGACGAGGCCACGGCCAGCGTGGATCAGCAGACGGAGCAGCTGCTGCAGCAAACCATCCACCAGCGCTTCGCTGACAAAACCGTGCTGACGATTGCTCACAGGTAGAGAGGGGACCAGCGTGGTGTGGTTCTGCTTGCCAGGGCGAGGAGCAGGGAGAAATGTCCCGCAGGAAGGAGCAGCACGGCTGGAGCAGGTGTCTGTGGCTCAGTAGAGGGCACTGCAGGACAGCCAGCGGCGAAGGGCTGCAGCCAGCTTCTGGCCAGAGGAGGCAGAACGCCCTAATTCTGCCTGCCAAAAACCCTGATGGCGATGCTGGCCGGCTAGGCGATGCCCAGGCAGGAGAGGGCAGCAGTGCTTGCTCCACGGAGAGATTTAAAGTAGGAGTAGGGGCAGAAGATGGGTACAGGCAGGACAAAACACAAACACTGTGGATACCGAGAAGGGATGGGTGAGTTTTAGGCAGTCTCTGCTCAGAGTATTCTCACAGATGCCAAGCGGGGGAAGAATTCGGAGGGGTGTGCAATTGTGTGTAGGGTGTTATAAAGGGAACTGCTTCCCAGCGCAAAGGTTAGCACGGAAATAAAAGTCAGACAGGCACAGGGCTTGTGTCCTGCGGCACAGAAGGCAGCGTGGGGGGTTTCTCCTCCGCTTCCCTAACGCGTGGCCCGGCCTCTCCGCAGGCTCAACACCGTCTTGGACTCGGACCGCGTGCTGGTGATGCAGGCCGGGAGAGTGGCGGAGCTGGGCTCGCCCAGCAGCCTGAGGCAGCAGGACGGCTCCTTGTTCCAGCGCCTCCTGCGCAGCGGGCAGCTGTGACCTCCCCAGCGGTCCCTCCGGCTCCCTGCAGGGCCGGGAGCCGCTGAGGTGAGAGCAATCGTGCGTCCTCAGGGACGGGAGCATGGCACGGCGACGTGGCACCGTCCTGCCTTTAGTAGGAACGGGTGCTGAGGGCCGTGCAAGCCTGGCTGGTGGGGCACTGTTCACCTCCAGGGCTTCCCTTTGAGATTTCAGAGGGCTTTTCTGTTCGCTGAAGAATCAGTGACTCCTAGGCTGAGACTGAGTCTCACACGTGTTTAAAATAAAGTGGAAACGTCCTTGTGAAGCTCTGGTGTTTGGGTCCCTGTCCCCTGTGCCCCCCAAACACAGAGTTCCTTGTGAGCTACAGGAGTGGTGCCCTCTTTCCCCAGAAACAACCCTGCCTGCTCCCTGAGTGCTCCAAATACCCCATAAGGCTGCACCTAGGAGCCTTGCGTCCCTTTCTCCAGCTTACAGAGGAGAAAACCTTCCCCAGAACATGATTACACCAAAGGCCCCTAAGGCTAGCTTATTGCAAACCATTTTTCCTAGGGGAACTCCCTGTGACTCCTGCCCTGCTCCCAGCTGCACAAACACATGGCTACTTTCAGTTTTAGGATCGATTTGCTCTTCCCATCAGCATTCTTGGACTCACTTTTGCATTTTCCCCTTCTCCAGAGTGCTCTGAGGCAGCACGTAGCACATACACACTTCTGCTCTGCCATCCTGAGGCAGGATCCCTCTCCTTCCTCTAAGGCAGCCCCCAGGAGCCATCCCCACCCCCTGAGGCCCAGGTCCCGTCTTTGCTCAGTGCCCCTGATAACCTTGGCTTCCCAAGACAAGCAGCCTCTGATTTTTGGAGGCATTGAGGTCAAAGAGACCCTGGGAAGGTCGCCAGAGCTCTCCCAGCAGCACGGTGCCAGGGCAGCAAAGCCAAGGGCTTCCAGGCAGTGAAAATGTTGTGGGGGCTTGGGCCAGAGCATGGGGCAGAACAAGCCCTGCCCCACGATCTGGGTTCGTGCTTCTGAAGGCAGCGATGGGGGTACTCAAAAGCAACCTGATCTGATCAGAAATGATGCCCAGAGGTTCCTTCAACCTAAATTACTTCACGATTCTCCGGTACACTGCTTCTGGGCTTGTATTTGTTTTATTTGATAAAGGTACATCATCCATCCATGTATTAAAAAAATAATTTTTCTGATGCAGCCCCAGTCCCTTTTCCCAGGTCTCCCTCCTGGCTGAGCGCTCACTCCTCTCTCCGCTCTCTGTGCATCACCTTCAACTCCGCTCTGCAGCCCTACAGGCCCAGTAGTAGGGTTTTTTTTGTTCTGTTTTGCTTTGTTTGCAAGAAATCCACTGCTTAATGCCCCGTTCCCACGAGGAGGCACAGCAAATCCTGGCAGGGAGGCGCTGGCTGCTGCGCAGCGAACCAGAAAAGGCAGAGCAGGGCTGGTACACGGACGAAGTGCCCCGGCAATCTGCTGCCCCTCAGCTGTGCTTTAGCAGGGGCGGGGAAGGCAGCGCTCTGTCTGCTTCGTGCAGTCATCCCCGGCTCGTCACAGGCCTGTTTTGTGTCAGGAAGCGCTGCAGTGGCTGGATCCAGGTTAGTGCTGGCAGGGGAAACGAGGGTCTGGCTTTTGTACTGCTCCTAACGCAGCCCCAGCACGTCCCCAGCCTCATCCATTGCCAGTTTCACCTGCGGGGGCACGTGAGAAGGACCAGCTCAGCCCCGAGGGGAGCAAGCTGTGCTCCTCCCCGTCAGCAAACAGCGAAGCAGAAGCGTGTGCTGGGCAAGCTTTGTGGTTTGCGTCCAGGCCAGCAAGGACGGCTCGGTACGTGGGGGGAGAAGACCCCACGGATCATCAGGAGGAAGGTTCGGAACACGTTTGCAACACCAAGGCTGACAGCAGGAGGAGGGGGCGTCCGTCACACGGCAGGAAAAGAGCAGGAGGAGACCCGAAATGATCCCCGGAGCCGCTTCCAGGAGTCCCAGGGAGGAGCTGTGAAGGGCCTGGCAGAAGACGTCTGTGGGACGGCCGCGTCCTCCTCCTCCGAGAGCTCACGTCGGGGCGCTGCCGGTGCTGCTCCCTCGCGGGGCTGGCCCCACGTGGCCCTGCCTCGATTCCCGTGGGTCACGCCGGCCTGGCAGAGGTGGCTCGGACACATCGCGTCGTGCTCGGTGCCCTGGGGTTTCGTCGATGCGCTCTCTGCCCCGGTTTGCACCAGAAGAGCTGCCCTGCCTGTCCGAGGGGTCTGCCAGCACGACGACCTGCCAGGGCCTGGCTCAGGGTCCTCGCAGCTCACAGCTCCGTCGTCTTCCTGGGCTCGATCAGGACAGTGTTGAGCATGCCCACCTGGCACTCCTGGTCCTGCAGCTTCCTGGCAGCCTGCGAAGGGCTTTGGCACCAGTTCGACCTCTGCCGGCCCCGCTGCCAGTTCCTCAGGATGAGCAGGACGGTGACGAGGACCAGCAGCGCCGTCAGCACCCCAAACACCAGCACCGTCACCAGCTGGGCCTCGCTCAGCCCGGAGTCCCTCTGGGTCACCACCTCCTTCACGGAGATTTTCAACAACCCTCCCCCCGGCGCTTTCTCGCTCTGGTTGGCCACGCGCCGCCCCGTGACCGCGGTCCTGCCAGGCTCGGGCTGCGTCACCCCGGGCGGCTGGCTGGTGGTGCTCCGCATCGCCCCGCCGCCCTCCTGGTTCGCGGGCTGGAAGGGGGGAGCCCAGGTGGGCTCGGGGACGGAGACCTCGCAGGTTTTGCCGGTGAAGCGGTCGGGACACAAGCAGTCGTAGTCGTTGACGCGGTCGTAGCACTTGGCCCCGTTCTTGCAGGGCTGGCTGGCGCAGTCGTTGATGTTGATGGTGCAGAAGCGCCCCTCGAAGCCCAGCTGGCACTGGCAGGAGAAGCGGTTGACGCCGTCGTGGCAGGTAGCACCATTGGCACAGGGGCGCATCAGGCAGTCGTCCACGTCGTGCTCGCAGAGAGCCCCCACGAAGCCGGCGAGGCAGCGGCAGGTGAAGTTGCTGGCAAAGCCGTTCTCGTCTTGGCACTGCCCCCCGTTCTTGCACGGAGACCTGTGTGGGGACAGCAAGGACAGGTCACGGCTCAGCAGCAGAGCTCTTCCCCCTGCCCTCAGCAGGGGAACGGCGCTGACGGAGCCAGCACGGTGCTGGCCGTTCCCCGAGAGAGGACGAGGGACGGGAGGCTGCTCGGACCACAGCACGCCAAGCTAACGGTGGTTTTGGCTGAACTCCATTAGCACGTGGAAATCCACGGGTAAGGAGCCAAGCCGGGCTGCCGCTCGGCAGTGTGTGCCCCAGCTGCTGTGTCTCACCCTGCCTTCTCGCACGGCCCTGCCTTCATCTCGCAGTCCTTCCCGTGGAAGCCCTCAGGACACAGGCAGGAGTAGTCCCCGTCTCGGTCGTAGACGCACTGAGCCCCGTTCTGGCACGGGGACTGGTGCTCGCAGATGTGTATGTCTGTGGGGAAAGGAAAAGGTGGAATGAGCGAGAAACGGGGTCAGTTCCCACACCACCAAACCCAGCGGGATGGGGACTGGCCACAGTTTCTCCTTCCTCCCTTCCAGCAGGCACTGGCAGCAACAGAAGTGCAGCCTTACAAACTGTGCCGTGTGTGTCAGCCAGGGCGTGAGCACAGACCCACAGCAGTGGCACGGAGGCCGTGGGGCCAGATGATGGGACTCGTCCGCAGCAGGAAGCCCCGGGGGAAGCTGGAGGTGCTGCCCAAACCCAGCCGTGGCGTGGGAAAGGCAGCGAGTTCATCCGCTACGTTTCCGGAGGCTGGCCCGCGTCACACAGCTCTCACCACGCCGACAGGGACAGCCAGGGGACACGGGGACATCCCATCTCATGCCCAGCCCATGGTCGGGGTGGCTGTGAGCTGTGCCAACCCTCCTATCCGTGCAGGGCATGCTGGGCTTCAACCACAGCCCTTTAGCCAAGGCGCAGCACAGGGGATGGGCTCGGGTAAACCCTCTGTCCCCTGCGGTGTCCCCTCCCGGTGTCACATCCAGCCCGGGACTCACCTTTGTCGCAGAACTTGCCGGCCCAGCCGCTGTGACAGATGCACTGCCAGGGCTGGTGGCAGGTCCCGTGGAGGCAGCCCGGCATGCGCACGCACTCCTCGCAGTGCTCGCCCTCCCAGCCCGGATCGCACCTGGGGAACGGAGCAGGAAATGGGATGTGAGGTCCCCAGGAACCTCCCGCCCCACTGCATCCCTGTGCGTTGTAATTTCCAGCATTTTTCATCTAAGTGCAGCCGTAATCCACTGCAAGACACATGGCCACTGATCGACAGGCTTATGGGGGCAGCGTGATGGGAAAACCAAGCCCTGCAGGACACAGCGAGCCCTCCGGCCCCAGGTGGGCGCTGAGGGGGCCGTGGCTGGTGGCAAAGCAAAGCTGTGGTGCCCCAGCGGCTTTCCCTTGCCCTGCCAGCTCCAAGGGGAGCGAGGTAAGAAAATGAGGGCATCTGTGTGGAAGCAGAGCTGAGAGGAGGTGGTAGCAGCCACTAAAAAAGCCAGCCTGAGGCTGCTTGTCCCCCACTGGCAGCACCGGGGAGCAGCCGGGCTGGGGGCCCAGGGACGTACCTGCACTTCCCATCCTGGTCGCAGCAGCCGTGGGCCAGGTTGCAGCGCTCGCTGCAGTCATCACCTGCAAGGCAGGGGGCGGGGGACAGAGGTCAAGTTCTGCTCGTGCGGGTATCCAGTTCTGATGATTTATTTATTTAAAGGCTGCCGTCAAGGAGCTGTAACTGAGCCGTGGCCTCGCCGTGCTCGGCACCGGCCTGCTCCCTCCTGCTGGTGTCCACTTCCATCCCCACCTTCCCCTCTGCCCCGTCACCTGCTCAGAGGTTCCTGCAGGAGCCCAGGCCCAGGAGATGGCCGCCCTCCCCTGACCGAGCCTCTCCTCACACGAGGAAAAACCTCTCAAACCAAGCCAGCAGCGTCCAGCCTGCAGCCACCACCGCCCTCCTGGCAGATGGCTTTGGGAACTCAGCGCTTATCCGGAGCTGGGGGAGGGCAGGCTAATCTTCAGGAGGGGATTTTGCCTCACAGGATCCAGGATGAAGCCACTCAGGTTCAGGATTTTCGCTCTGCCCCTTGCCCTGCCTCTCCAAGGAGCAGGGGGACCTCGCCGCCAGCCTGCTCAGCCACTGCCACCCCCGTTTGCGTGGTGAACTGAGGAGACTTCAGCCATGCTAAGGATGGGTTTGGGAAGACGGATAGAAGGGAGACGGGCCCTGAGACTCACCTTGGGCGAGCTGGTGATGCGCCAAGAGGATCCAAAGCAAGGACATGAGCTGGAGACAGAAGCTCCTGAGCATGGTCAGCGTGGCCCCACCGAGATGAACACCTACAGAGGTCAGAAGAGCAAGCTCAGGGAAGCCCCCCGGCTCGCACCGCAGCCTCACTTCACGCATCCCTTCCTCTCCACTACCTGGGAGTTTTGAGCTGAAACATCCAGTTTTGCATGGACTTGTCACCGCACTCCTCTCTGTCCTTCCAGGCTCCTTCCTCTACGGCAACGCCGGAGCACTGAGAACCAAAAAGCCTTTTAACACGCGTGTGTGGGAGAGCAGGAGGCAAACGCCCAGCGCTGGGGCTGCTACACTGCCCCTCTCCAGGGAGCAAAGCCTCTTGCACCCCCGCGCAGCTGCGGGGACCTTCACCTTCCCTCTCTGGATCAGGGGGCCGTGGGCATCTTGTTAATCAAGGTCCCTGCTCTGCACCCATCCTCCTGTGCGTGGTCAAAGGGATAGATGGGCCGAGTGTTCCTACAGCTGCTTTTCTAAGACTTGCTGGGCTGCAGCGAGAAAAACCCGATAAGCCGACGGCTAAGAGGCGAAGCTCCTTCTGCCTCAATTAGACGCAGGGGGCCAGGGTAAATCTAGCCAAATAGCACCAGGGGAAACATCCCCGGGGCTGCGGAGACGAGCATGAAGCCTGGCTGGGTGCAGTCCTTTCCCTCGGCCGTCCTGCAGAGAGCCCCCCGAGCCCGGTGCTCCCGCACCCGTTTATTTCCCGGCCGCCTCCTGCCCTCGAAGTCGCGTGAAAAGACTTTCCAAAAACGCTTCGCTCCCTCCCAGCCTGCTGGGGTTGTTCAGGGCAGGAAATTCGAAGGGTGATATCATAAGGATATTACTATAATGAGATGGGAGGGGTCTGAGCGCCCCGCCAGGAGCGCGGCGCGGGCAGGGAGCGGGCTCCATCCAGCTGCGTGGGTGTGATGGGCAGGGGCCACGCCGCTCTCAGCCGTACCCCAAAGCCAGGGGAGGTTGTGTCGGGTCGATTGCTACACCAGAGGCTGCTCAGATTCAGAGAGATGTCCCCCCACTGCCACCAGCACCACCACATGCATACGCATCCATGGCAGGAGGAGGTGTCGGGGTCCCCGCTAGCGGCTTGACCCACCTGGACCAGACCAAATATCCCTGTGAACCCAAAGCGGCGATGCTGCTCCAAGCCTCCCGCATGCAGACAAACCACCACCCACAAAGGAGGCGGCATTTCCCGGGGGGCTGCGGGATTTTATCATCACTGCCCCAGCCAAATGCGGGCAGGGATCCCCGCATCCCCCCCCCACACCTCCGCGCTCTCCCCTTGCCCCAGCGCTGCCGGCCCCAAAATGCCGGGCAGCGGCCAGCAGCTGCTGCGTTTCGGGGGGAGGCTGCAGGAACGCCTCGGAAACTTAGGAAATAATTTAGGGCCGATGGCCGAGCAGCCGGGAGCTCAACCACAGGGCATCGCCGAGCTCCCTCCCCATGGGGCGATGCTGGGGGCACCCTGGGGGGCACCCAGGAGCCCCATAGGGCTGCGAGCGGGCTCGGCCTCGGGGCTCAGGGCTGCTCCCCGTTCCTCCCTTCTGGCCGGGGACCCCCTCCCCGGGGCTGCTCACCTCGGCTCCCGGCGGCGGCTATCGCGGGGCGAGGCGGCGGCGGCGGCGGGGGGCGGCCATGCCCGGCTCAGAGGCGGCGGCGGCGGGGCTGGGGAGGCGCGGGGCTGCGGAGGGAGGGAGGGAGCTGCCGCGTGTGCCCCTCCGCTCCGCTCCCCTCCGCTCCGCTCCGCCCGCCGCCGCCGCCGCCGTGCGCCCCGGCCGCCTGCCAGCGGCTGCGTGTGCCTGCACATCCCTCCCGCCCCGGGACGGCCCCCGCCTCCCGCAGCCACACACCGCAGGCGCCCCCCCCCCCCCCCATCATCCACCTCATCCAGCACAGCCAGCCCGGGAGCTGCTCACCCCTGCCCTGCTGCCGCTGTTGTCGCTGCCGCCGCCACCGCCGCCGCCGCCGCCGGGGGGGGCACACGCGGGATGCCCGCCACGCACACCCCACACGCGCCCCACACACGCCCCACGCACCCCACGCACCTCACACAAACCCCACACGCACCCCGCACACTCCCCACGCACCCTACATCCACCCCACACACCTCACACAAACCCCACACGCACCCCACACACACCCCACACACACCTCACGCACCCCACACACCTCACACAAACCCTACACACGCCCCACGCACACTCCATGCACCTCACACAAATCCCACACAAACCCCACACACCTCACACACACCCCACGCACTTCACACAAACCCCATGCACCTCACATACACCCCCCACACACCCCACACGCTTCACACAAACCCCACACGCACCACACACTCCCCAGGCACACCTCACGCACCCCACGCACCCCACACAAATCCCACACACACCCCACACAAACCCCACGCACCTCACGCACACTCCACACACCTCACATACACCCCCCACACACCCCACATACCCCACATCCACTCCACACACCCCACACACCTCACACACACCCCACATGCACCCCACGCACACCTCACACACCCCACACACCTCACACAAACCCCACGCACCTCTCACACACCCCACATAAACCCCACAAACACTCCCACATACCCCACACACACCCCACGCAACCCACACACCTCACACAAATCCCACACACACCCCACACACCCCACACACCACACACAACCCACAACACCCCACACACACCCCACACACTCCCCACATACCCCACATACCCCCCACATGCAGCACAGGCCAGGCCTCAATGCCGAGCCCCTCAGAGGGAGCCAATGGCCCAAGAGGAGCAAAACTGTCCCCCAGAAGCTGTCCCCAGAAGCTGTCCCCCAGAAGCTGTCCCCCAGGCTTTCACGGGGCAGCTTGGGGCAGCCACCCCAAAAAATGGAGCCACCCCCAATGCTTCTCCTGCTGCCACTCGCAAGCTGTGGTCACCAGTGCCCCGACGCTAAGACGAAGCCATGCAGAGGGCCACCAAACCTTGGGAAGGACAGCTGCCCGCGCTGCTCCTCACCCTGCATGGCCTTCCCGCGTTACTCTGCCATATTCCCAGGTCCTGGCCGTCCCAAACCAGCTTCCAGCCAGCCCTTTGCCACCCAACTCCTGGGTCAATGCTGGGCTCGGGGTCACCCTCTCCTCCGTACGCCCGCCTGCCACACGCCACCAACCCCGGGGGCTCGGGGTTAAACCAAATGTTCTCCCCCATCCCACCCCGGCCCACAACAAACATCAGCAGCTCGCTGGCCCCGCAGCCCTGAGTGAAACCCAACCCCGGCCATTGTTCCCCCTTCCCCAAGGTCTATATTTGACTCTGCGGCAGCACGGGGGCTGCGGGGATGTCTCTGTGTGTGTGTGTGCGCGCTCACCGCACGCGCCCGCCCCGATATTTGTCCGCAGCCCCATTCCCCAGATGCCCGGGATTGCTTAGAAATAGCTTCCATGGGCAGTAGGTGTTTGCGCCTGCAGCGGGGACACGGAGGGGGCGGGCGACAGAGGGGGGTGAAGGTCGAGGGTGGAGAAGCTCCCGGCTCATCCCTGGCAATTTTTGGCCGTTTCAGTGGTCTATCATCCAGGGAACGATGCAGAAGAGGCCTACCCGTGGTCTTGGCGAAGCCATCCTGTCCCACCCTGCCCAGGTTCTCTCTCTTTGGCTCCAAAAGCCCTTCAGACCTTCCTAGGTCTCCTAGGTCTCTCCATCAGGAACGGCCCCGGGAAGGGAAGTATCCGATTCCCTCGGCCCTGGTGGCTTTGCAAGGGGTGCCTCAGCCCCTGGGAACTGCCCCGGGATTCACCCTCCTCTGTTTCAGCGCTGCAGCGAGGGTAACCACCCCGGGACGTATTTTGTGTTTCCCCAAAGCCTCCAGGAATGTCGCCCAAGCCCAGTGTCACATTCCCCGTGACCCTGAAGTCCCTGGGAACACTGCTGAGGCTCAGCGTGTCTTTTTTTTTTTTTTTTTCATTCGCATCCTTGGCGGCCTGCTGAGACAGTAGACTCTCCAAAATGACAGGGCATTTCTAGAGACAATGAAAATAAAGAGTAATGAGCCCCGAAGAGCTAGCAACCCTCCCGCTAGGCTGTGGGTAGGGAGCAGCTTTCCATCAGGGCAGCTCCTTCAGCAATTTTGCAGAGCTTGCACCTTCCCCTGAGCCAGGAGGACCTGGCCCTGGGAGAAGAAGGACGCTGGGGACACGAGGAGGCACCCAAAGGACATTTCCCATCACCACAGCCAAGTGGCTTGGACTTTGGCTGCTCTGGTGGTATTTCCATCCGAGACAGGACAGAGCCACCAGGAAAGAGAAAAAAATCAACATAAAAAGATTTGGCTAATTAACTTCAAACAGACTCGAAGGGGAGGGGAAGGAGATAGGTGTACGTGGAGGGTGGCTGGAGAAAAGCCCTCACCGCTCACCAAACTGAGTCATCCCCCTTCAAAAAAAAAAACCATGGCTTTGTTGTGCAGGATCTTGTTTTGCCCTGTGCTTTTTGGCTTCCCTCTGCGTGTGTGTGTGTGACAGTCACTCGCACGAGAGCGCCCAGACCTCAGGACTCGTGCCCCTTCTCCCACCCCACCTCTTGCTGCCAGGGGAGGTCAGGGAGGATCGTGGCAGCGAGGAGAGGCGGCAGAGGACATCTGCCAGGCCTTCTCCTGGCTGGCAAGCACCACGAGGTGCCTCGAAGCCCACCTCCAGCCGTGCCCGTCTCCTTTCCTCTTTCCAGCTGGCAGCTCCAGCAGTAAAACCTCCCTCATCTCACCGGGAGCAGGCACGCGAGTGTTTAATGGGAGCCTCTTGAAGCAAACGCTTTGAGCTCCCTCAGCGCTCGTCTCGGAGCTTGCTCCTGGGTATTTACAGAGCTTGGCGCATCTCCGTCTTTGCAGCGAAACCTGGCAGGAGGGGCTGGAGCAGGGAATTTCAAGGTCATTTCACGAAGCTCCGGGCCCGTGCTTAAAAAGCCTTGAACCCTGGGGTGCAAGGGAGGGGAGTCCATAATTGCCAGCCCCGGGGGATGCGGACGATGGTTGGAGGGGGAGGCTAATTGCAGACTGACTGTCTCCTTGGCCTTCAACGTCTCTCTCTCGTGGAGCAGGGAAGCGGTGCGCTCAGCCAAGCACCAAGCGTGTCCTAGGGAAAGGTAATTCCTCCCCGGCCTGCCTGGACCCGTCCCCATAAACAAGGAGAGCTGCGCGGGGAAGGCAGCGCCACACGCTTCACAAAAAGAGGGCTCTTGGAGCTGGAGAAGCGAGCCAGGCGTGCAGAAAGCCTCCTCGAGAGGCAGCACGCAGCCACGTGCCTCCTCCCGAAACAGCCCGCGAGTCCCCGACCTGCCCTCAGAGGCCGGATAGGGCTGGGGGATCGCCTCGTTCCCCCTGGTTCGTGCACCCCACTTTGTGCCCCCCTGGCACCCTGCCACGTCCATGTCCTTCATCCTTTGTGTGCGGGCGAGGGATCTGCCCCATGCTCTGGGCCGCAGCCCTCCGCTGCCTCCCCGCGCAGGCTCGGCTGAGACATCCCCCCCTTTTCCCCTCCGCATACTTGTAACCCTGTTCATTTCAAACGCTTTATTAGCATGACGAGCTCAACAAGTTTTGACAGAGGGGAACGGATTCAGAGCCCCTAGAGTCTCTGTCTGAGGCTGACACCAGCCTCTCCTTCCAGCGAGGGTTTTGCCGTGCACTCTAGCAGCCCTGGGGCACGGGCACCATTTCTCCCCCCTCCTTCTCCAGGCACAATCCCTGGCAGGGAAGGATGGCTGCTCTGCAAGCCTCCACTGCAGGGTGCACCCGTGCTGGCACTGGCAGCCCTTGGGGCGAAGGCTTTGCAAACAGCCTTGGTGGGGCGAGGCGAGGCCGCCGCAGGAGGTGGGCGAGGAGGGGAGGAGAAGATGCAGAGAGCTCACCCTCAACTCTGCCATGGATCCTGGCTGGGAAACATCTCTTTTCTATCAGAATCACCCCCACAAGGTCACAGCCCTGTAACCAGTCCCTTGCAGAGCCACCAAGCCCCCTAGGGTAAGAGGTGGAGGCACCTGGTCGCTGGGGAGAGCGGAGAGCAGAGGGGCGAGGGGGCTGCCACAGCCCAGCCGCTGAGGCCAGAAGGAGCCCCAGGGCCCAGGGCGAGAGGCAGGATGAGCAACCACCACGCTTTTTAATGGCTGGTTAGAACTGGCCAGTAGGGGTCACTGAGATCTATTTATTTTATTTTTTATTTTCGTGCAGATGTGCTTCGAACCACATGAAACATGGCGGCAATGGTAAGGAAGGGTTGATGAGCGGGATATCTGCCAGGTGAACAGGTCAGGGAAAAGTGCCACCATGTGCATCTGAAGTACCAGCACGTGCTGCGCGTCCCTCTCTGCTCAAACGCCACGAGGGCACCGTGCAGGAGCCAGTGTCCTGTGCTGGGGCTCTGCTGTCATTGATCTCTGGCTCTGCCTTCGTCCTCCATCCTGTATGCTCAGAGATGACTTGAGAGAAATTCAAGAGATTCAGAGATTCAGGCCTCGGGGGCAGAATATTGTGTCTGCTTGTCTTTCCGTGCAGTGCCCGGTACAATTACATCCCAACCAACATGGGTGCCTCGAGGCAGTCCCATGAGAAAAATTTAATTTTCACCTAGGTTGGGTCAGCACAGTTCTGTTCTTTAGCCACTGCTGCCGGGGATCCTGACAGCAAAGCGTTTGCCCATGAAAAAACTCCAGGTGGTTTTGGAGAGTGGCACACACGCTACAATTGAGCCCCAGCCCCTGCTGTTATGCAGTAGGATGGATTGAGTTATGCACCCAGGTATTGTCAGCAGCTGGTTTTCTGGTGGGCTGTCTTGCTTTGGTAGGTGCATGCTCCAGGCATGCTGGCAGGGTGTGTTTGGCTGTCCAAATCTGCCTCCACAGACACGTTGGGCTGTCCCAGGCTGCCTGCATTTAATGTTCTTATTGTTCCTGAGGTGCTGCTGAGTTTGGGTGCTGGGCTCCTCTTGTACTGGCACATCCCAGTGCAAGCTCTGCTCCCTTATGTCTTGGTTTTCTTTATTTTTGTTTTGTTTTGTTTTGGGGGGCTCAGCCTGTCCATGAAATCTCTTGCCTCTGTGGGCTTCCCAGCTGAGGGCTAGTGGGGAATCCTCTGCACAGCCTCCTCAGGTGGCTGGAGTCACAGAGGAGGAGATGAGCATGTCCTGAGAGTCCCTTCTTGACTTCATCCAAGAAGGAAATGGGACTTCATGCAGCTCTCAGGCAGGGATCACCAAAGGCTGCTCCAGCACCGTTGTCCTCCCAGCTTGACCTAGGTCAGTGGGGAACTTGAGAGGACCAAGCCTGCACTGCCTTCTTCTGGTGGGGAGACATTATTTCTGGTGTCTAACTTCTTCGGCCAAGCCTGTAGGCACATCAGAGGCATTTGTCCCTCCACGGGGTGGCACCTGCCCGCAAGGGGTTCCTTTTATACAGTTACAGGCGTCTATATAAAGTGCTGCCAGTTGGAAAGTATTTTGAAGAGATTCCTCCCTGCTCTTCATTAAGGGTCATAAATTCAGCTGGTATTTGAGAGAATCTAAATGTACTTCCAGGATTGTTTGCTGAGAGCTTTAGCATCCGCCAGAGGCCCCTTAAAATAAAGGGATTATTGGGAGTCAAGTGTTAGATTACCTGGTGCTTGTTAATTGAACTTCAGAGGCTTTAGCGAGCAACTGGCTCTAGCTGGGAGCAGCACTTTGGCATTCGTGGTGTTATATAAATGAATATAATGTAACACAACGTCATGCTTCCGCATCATGTCACATCTCTGGGCTCAGGGCAGTGGTAAGTCCAGCTCACAGCCATTCCGGATACAGGAAAAGGCAGGGTGGATGTGTGTGAAGAGAGAGAGAGGGAGAGAGGAATTGGCAATCGAGGACTTATGGATGTGAGGAAGGGTTTTTTTAGTGCTTAGAGCAGGTGACTGCTCAGTTTCTGTCTCCCTTTGGCTGTGTGACCTTGGGATCTGATTTTGAGAAGAGTTGAGTTTAACGGAAGCATTAAATGCTGAGACCACCTTCCTGTAGGGCTTATTTCACCTAAACTCATAAATGCTTGAAGATCCTCTTCACAGGTCCTCTGTGATTCTCTGATCCTACTCTGAGAGCTCACCAAAAGAAACCAAAGGACTCTAATCATCGCTGCCATCAGAGCGCACCCACGGAAACCTGAACAGACCACAACTGTGAATGCTCCAAGGCAGCAAGGCCCATTGGAAACGAGAAACCTCATCAGCTATGAAAATTTCATCAGCTGGCGCGGTGGAAGCAAGAATCTGGAAGTGGAGAGCAGATGGGCAGCCTGGATTCTTGGAGCCATTGTCCTTCTGCTTGTTATCTGACTCCGGCACAGGGAGGATTCGGAGAATTTATGGGGGCACAAGTATTGAAGGCTTTCTTGAAATATCCCTGGCTGACGTGTGGCATGGTGCAGACGGCACTTGCTGGGTGCAGAGCAGACGTTTTTGCACAATATTCCCAAGGTCATGGAAGCAGGGTCCTGCCGAGCACCTGCCTGTTATTGTGTAGGAGAAGAGAATGCTTGGGTCCAGTTTGCGGCACCGTGAGCCTTTTACTACCTGGATGCACACATGAAAGCCTTGGAAATGTTATACATTTGGGAGTATCATCCAAATGCTGCCAGGACTTCTCTCAGCTATGCAAATTTCCTCTGGGCTTGGCTCAGTGAACTACCATGTGGTTATCAACTGTTAGTGAAAGAAAGAGCAACAGGGAAGGGAGCAGAGGGTGAGCTGACTTCCTTGGGATGTGCCCCAAAGCGTTGGGGTGTTTCTCAGCGACCGAGGCACACAGCAAGCAGAGGAAGCTGCGATTCTGGATGTTGGCTCCCAGAAAATTGCCCTGGCTGGCAGAGACCTAAAGAGGGCAGATCACTTGCAGTTACTGTGAGCCCATCCTGCGTGCCCCCACACTCTTAACTCTATTGAAACCTGTAATATTTTTTCCTGTAGTCCTCCCGTTACTTCTCCCTACGTTTCCCAAGCGTTGGGTTGCCCCTTCTCAAGCCCTGCTGTGGGGTGCAGTGACTGCATCACCTTAGAGGCAACCTACAAGGCGCTCTAGGGCTGCTGTGGAAAGCAATGTGTCAAATCAGGCAAAGAGCAGGGGCTGGATCCTTCCTCAGCAAGAGCTGCAGGAATACGCGTATCTGTGTAGCCACCCCATGTCCTTAAACACCCATGAAGGCGCCTCAGCCCTGACAACTTTAAGGCACACGGCTTGTGGGACCACTTGGGTGCCACGTCCCTTGGCGTTATTTCCCGAGCTGCCTCGCCTCATCCGCCAGATTTACGGGCACAGCTGGAACGGGGAGCCCCACATGTACCAGTTTGGCAGGATGGCGCTGCCTCCACCACACAAAAAAGCCGCCTGCACCCCCCTAACCCCACAGCACCCCTCCCTCCTTCCTCCCCCCGCTCCCGCCCCGCCGCCATTTCAGGCTCGGGGCCCCTCCCTCCGCGGCGATGACGCGGCCGCGGCGCGGCGTGGGGATTCCGCCGGCTTACCCGGCCTGCCCCGCGCCAAGATGGCGGCCTGAAGCCGTGAGCCGGGGGGAGGGGGGAGAACGGGGCTGAAGCGGGGGCAAAGCTCGGGGAAGGGCCGGGCAGGGGCATGGGGGCGGCTGGGGAGGGGGCTGAGAGGGTGTGGAAGGAACAGGAGGAGCCTGGGGGGAGGTTTGGGGGGTGTAGGAGGTAAGGGGAGGGCAGGGGGGTGGCGGTGTGGGGGGCTTCCCGCATCGCCCGGCTCGGTGTGGGGGATAGACGGGGCGAGGAGGGGGGGGAGGGTCACCCGGGACAGCCCCTGGAAACGTTAAAAAATAAAAAAACTGAAAATAAAAGCTGAGTGAAAGGTAGCGAGGTGCGTCCGGGTCTGAGCGCAACGCCCTCAGCACGGGGTGGAGGAAGGGGCAGAGTGCTGGTGGTTGGGGGCTGGGGGTGAGGTTTGGGGCTTGGGGGTGCAGTTTGGGGGCTAGGGGTGCAGTTTGGGGCTAGGGGTGCAGTTTGGGGGCTAGGGGTGCAGTTGGGGGGTGCAGTTTGGGGCTTGGGGTGCAGTTGCAGTTTGGGGCTAGGGGTGCAGTTTGGGGCTTGGGGGTGCAGTTTGGGGGCTAGGGGTGCAGTTTGGGGCTTGGGACATGGCATTGGTAAGCATCAGGGTGTGTGATTGGGGTTGAAGCCAGGAGCCCCCAGGATCTGAGGTACGCCAGGCGGAGGTTGTCCACCGGAAAGAATCGTCTGCCAGGTGGGAACGGTTGGGTGCCAGAGGAAGGTTTTCTGAGGTGTTGGTCTGTGTTTTACAGGTTCAGAGAAACAGCTGGGATAAAGGGCCCACGTGAGAGGAGGCAATGAGTCGCTGAAGCATCAGACAGCAGGTAAGACAGCCAAGAGAGAACTGAGGCCAAGTCAGGCTGTGCTTTCGTCCCTCTGCTTGAGTTTTTTTGACACTATGGAACCGCATACTCGACAACCAGGCCCTCTCTAACGTGCTTTCTCCATTCAGCCAACACACGCTTAACATGCTGCAAAGGTCAGGGATGCAAATGAAATGGGAGTAACCCTGAAGACTCCAGTAAGAGTCCCTCAGAGGAAAACTTCAGTTAAAGGTTTAGATTAGTGCTCTTTACGTGAGATCTTAAGAAGCTGATGTAGCTGTATTTTCTGCATAATTATAGGAGGCCTGAGCCAGAGTCACGGTGATATCCTGATCGCTCTTCTGAAGATCCTGCTCTTGCAGTCGCTGCGGTGTCACAGTTAGGTAATTCTAGTGACCCTCTGTTCTGTTGGGTTATTTCTTCTACCACATTGTGTTTTGTACCCATATTTAACCAAACCAATGATGGCACGTGTGTGCTGCTGGCAGCTAACAGCTTGGTCCTTTAAATTTTCCATCCCTTTTGCTCATCAAATCACTTTAATACAACTCCTTCGTCTTTTCTCCGCTTTTAGTGGATCACTGCAGAAAATGTGTGTCCTGACAGTGCTTTGCGTCCAGTGCTTTTCAGCTTCTGGATGTTACATCAACACTTAAGCTAGCAGGTCCTAGCTGCGGTAATCAGAAGCTTTGGTTCCCACCAGGCACCCAGTGCTCTTGAAGTTGTGGGAATGCGTTTCAGAAGGGCCAGCGGGGTTCAAAAGTGCAACCTACGACTATCTTCATCTTTAATATTAACAGGACGTTGGGTCAGGAGGGGATGTGTTGCAAGCAAGGACCTGTTGACTCTTCAAAACAGCTTTTTGAACCAAAGATGACCTTGCATTCTTTTTCAGTGTTTCAAGTAGTTTGTTGGCTGCTGATAAGTCGCTTGCTTTGCAGCTTTCAAATCCTGGATTCTTATCTTCCCCAACCACTCTAAGTACAACCATGTGGCACGGTATTTTGGGAGAGCACGAAGTAAACTATACCTTCGAAAGAGGAGTAGTTCTTTGCAAGTCTGCCCCTTTTTGTTCCAGAGCAGGAGACGTAAAGTTGGGTAGGACAATGGATGTCAGTGCTGGTGTGTAACAGTACCAAAGCTTGGAGAAAGTTTTTGTGGAGGATGATGTGGTGCAGAAAGTGCTTTAAAAAAGGTAAAGCATACCTAACTGTTTCAACAGTAGCAAAATAAGCAAGATTCAGTAAGGGGTGACTGTATTTTTTGGCAGTTGTTTGACATATACCTGATGTTTGTGAGTCCTGGAAGGTTATGATTTTTCCAAAGATGAGCTCCCTACCCTGCTGAAATGTCTGCTACGTTTTATGAAGGATCTACTGAAAACTGGACCCTGAAAATTCCCACGTGTCAGCACATCTACAGCCTGGTCCCAATAAATAATTGTGGAGGTTAGGTCATAACAAATAACCATCTTGCATCCTTGTTAGCAAGAGCCGAATTTTACAGCACAGTGTGACAAGAATAATGGTGTACTTTGTCTGCTGTTCTTGTTGCTGGGAGAAATGCTACGTGGAGGAGTCTCAAATGAGCCTGCACATGATACTGATTGAGGGCAGGATTCCTCCACTAAGAAACGAAGATTGTAGTTGATATGTTTTTTACTCCTCTCTACTCTTTTGACCATTGTTGTCAGGAACAGGCATTTGCATAATGAATGGAGCAAACTTCCTTGGCTGTGGACTTGGTTGATCCTTTGCAAGTAATTTAAGGTCCTGAAGCTCTCCTAGCGTGACAGCTTTGTTTGGGAAGATGTCCCCTTTGTGTGTGACACCTTGTGTGGTTGTGCCAGGTGTGTATTTCAAGTAACTAGCAACTGGAAAAATATGGTTCTAATACCCGTTTTACACAGGAGTGCAAAGGAACTGTGTGCATAATCTATGCAAATAGGGCTAATGCCTTAGGCAAGAAACTGTCTATCACGTTTCTCTGCCAGTTCCCCTACCTGAGGGCTTTTTCCTAACTCTAGACTGGCTGGGTCTGGAACAGAGGTAGGAAGAATGTTGCTTTTTAAAACTGAAGTACCTTTACAGCAGGTTGGAGGGGAATGATGGCCAGAATGTTAAACTGTGAGGTTTAACAGAGATGCAAGAGATGGTGTGAATGTGTTCAGATCATTCCTGTTCCTCACTCTTCATGTTTTCGGTTGCAAAATTCCCACCCCATCTTACCTTTTAAGATAACCTAGTGTGCAAAGCTGCCTTCAAAATGAAGGAGACTCTTGCATGTTCCACTGGCCTGCAAGTGCTGTAGCACAATGAAATTGCTGGGGAGTCTAAGTCAGGCCATGTCTTTAAGGCAAGTAGCCACTCTGAGACCCCTTTTTTCCCTTCCCAGGAGCTGTTTCCTGTTTCCACAGCTTGTAATGCTTTATCTGGCCGAATCTTTACGACTTAAATTAATCTTTTCTCTTTTGTGCCCCCTAGTTTTGTTCCAGACTAGGCAATTATTCCCTTTGTTGCCTGGATGTTTATGGTCTCATTGCTAACACATTGCTCAGGCGGAGAGCAGCAAGCGGCTCGCAGGCTGTCTCCTAGTCAGAGTGCCAAGAGCCACCCTCTCTGCTGTCCTCGTGGGAGCAGTGCTTAGGAAGGAGACAGCGTGGAAGGCCGTGCAGGAGGGAGAGCAGCACTGCAGCGGCTGGAATGCAGGATAAGCATCGCTTGGGTGGGCTCGGTTTCCTCCGCTTTTCAGCGGCGCTGGCTGCCAAGTTTGAGGAAGACTGCTGCGCAGAGGTGAAGGAACTGGAATGTGCTCTTCAGTTGAGGTGAATGCAATTCGGTAAAACTGATAGGCATCAAACTGAGTAATGATTTTAAAGTATTTTCACATGATGTCTAATCTGTGGAAATTCGCTACCACATAATAGCGCTGAGGCTAAATGCTGAGCGGGATTCAGGAGAGATCAAGCATTTATACAAGTGGAAATGTTCAGACTTGCTCTCGCTAAAGAACTTGTTTCAGAAGGCATATTTTTCAGACATAACCCAATCTCCAACAGGCAAAGGTTAGGGAAAGGGACAAATCGTTCCGTAATTGTCCACTCAGGCTTCTTGCTTTATCTTCTAAACCACCTAGTACTGGCCTGTGTCAGAGGCAAGGTATTGAATCCCACTTGCTTACTCTTTTATTTGCCTATTGACCTTTCCTTTTGTGATACTACATCTAGAAAAAGGCACCCCAGCTGCTCTGGCTAGGGCTGATAGTTGAGGATTTTAAGCTGGTGGAGAGTGGGTTGTTTGGAAAGGTCATGCAGTCTGTAGGTGAGGACTGTCTTATTCGTGAATGTGAAGGCAGGTAAGTGCTGTCTCTTTACTCCAGGTGTTCAGACAAAGCAATTTGTGCTCCCCGCCTTCGCTTCTAAGCGGGAAGAGTGCGCGTGGAGTTTGGCCTTTCCACGTTGCAGTCCCGTAGTGGACTTTAGTCCTTAAGGTGGCTGGCAGGAGACTTTAAGGCTATTCAGGTGAGATCCAGTATGTTGTAGTGCAAGCCTCAGTTTAGGGAAAACACAGCCTGTGTCCTGCAGTCTTGTCTAGTCCATGTTGAGGATCAAGAGGATCACACAAGCACGCATTCGATTTGCTGATAAAGGTCAGTGGCAGTCGTATGGAAATACATGTAAGAGAGGGTTTGTAATCTCTGCCTAAATACAAGGGGAACTCCTGGAGATAATTGCAGACTGGGAGGATTGTCAGAGCTAGGAGCGGGTCTTTCAAACACAGAGATCTGTGTGTGGGTACCCTCCTTATGGGCTGGTCTGGAACAGCGTGTGCTCCAGGGCACAACGTAACCCTCCTGTGGCAGGTGTAAGTGCTGTGAGTGAAGGGTTACCGGCTCTCACAAAGGTTGTGTGGTACTGAGAGATTAAAAAGTGAAATGGTTCAGGGTCGGGAAGTAAGGTTTTAAGTTTTTTTCTGCACAGGTTGGGCTGGTTTTTAGGTGCAGAGGTTCGTTCTGACCTGCTGCTAGTGGCAAGAGAGAACTGGCTCACGTTTCTGATTTCTAGGGGTCAACAAATTCAGAACTGAGAGTCCACAGTGACTCCTGGGTCTTGGGTTGAGTTCTGTATTTGTATTTTGTCTGTGCAAAATACTGTTTTTGGCAGTGTACAAATCCTAACTGTATTTCCGTTCTCCTGCACTTAAAATCTCAGTTATCCAGCTGCATTCGGTAACGCTCATGTGAATGGTTCTGAAATGAAGCGACAGATGAGGTAGTTTCTCTAACTATTGGGGAATTATACTTAGGCTCATAAAAAGCCTCAGGCGAGTTTTTACTTCATAGCATTTGTTTCAAAAGAATACAAGCTATTTTCCCAAGACAATAATTAGATAATTACTGTGGCAGCGAGATTTTCAACCATTATTTTAGCGTGTGCTACACAAGGTAACTGTTCAGACCCAGGAATGTCTCGCTGCACAAGCTCTGTGCAGTTCCCAAAGACGCCTTGCTTCATTGTCTCCTAAATCAGATTTCATCCTGCAGCTTTGCTGTTCATTAGCGAGGGCTCTGCTGCTGCTTGATGGGGAAGTTCTGGGGAGGTGATTTGAAATCTGGTTAATCTTAAATGAGTGAAAAGTGATTGCAGTTGATTCTACTGTTCTGGTTGTTTATTGTTGGCTTTTTTTTTGTTTTGTTTTTTTTTGATAGATCTTATTTATTGCTTTTTCCTTATTTAAGGGTTCTTCCCCCTTCTGTTTTATTGTCAAATGGGGGAAAGGTAATGGAAAATGGCAGGATAGGTATTTAAATTAGAGTTGTTTTAAGTAACCTTCCTTCGAATGGACTTCAAGTTCACTTCCTACCTTTGTTTTTCTGAGCAGAAAGCATCTCATGTGCTGAAGTATGCAAACTATTTGAACTTCTAGAACTGAGATTCTAGGCATTGCTTGTGCTATGGTTAAGTAAATACTAGGAAGTGAAAACTTTGAGAGGGATTTTCACAGCTAACTGCATTTTGCTAGCAAATACGCTCTGTTACTAGATGTCTGTGTAGGGCTCAATCCTCTTTCTTCTAGGGCTAGCAGGGAGTGTCATTTTGGGAAAACTTCTCATGCCAGGTTGGATTGACTCCTGGAAGCAAGTCAGCCAGGCCAGACTGCATAATTTCTCTAGAACCTACTCGTGAGTATATCTGTTTTTCCCTCCTGTAATGATGCCCCTGTAATAGGGTCCTAGGTGAGTCTGAAATGGCTGTTACAGGACGCAGTGTCGTCAAGGCTCCGGCTGGATGCAGAGAACTGTGCTGCTCTGCAGCTCCGGAGATGATTTACTGCCCGACTGACAACTTGCAATATAAACATTAGTCCAAGCATGATCTTGTCCC